GCGGCTCTAGACTATTCTTAAGCGACCTCATGCTTTTCCATTTTCCTTCCTTGGTTCATACAGTTCTGTCTTATGTGTCTTCCCCAGCAGCCACACTCCCCCAGTCGATGAAGTCTCCACTAACTCTACTAACCAGCATGCCTCTTTCCAATGACTTCTTCCAGCATGTTTTTACCTCTAAAAATGCATACAGAAAGATAATTATTATTGAATATGTCCACACTTCTACTAAGCTGTGAGATCTTTGATGAAAAGGCTCTAAGTTTTATTCCTCTTCTCTTCCACTGCAATACCTAATTTAGTGCTCAGCATAGAGTCAGCAACTGCAATAGCTTTTGACAAACTGCAGAAGAACAAAGAACATGAATTCCAAAGAAATAAATAATCCAGTATTGTTAGTAAGGGACTCCTCAAAGTCAAATCAGATTCCAACACCTACTGGATGCTTTCTCAGTGAAACTTAGAATTTTAAACATGATTGTACTGTGTTCTGATGGTCTAGCATACTGCCGAGAGCTCAAAACCATTTTGTTTCAAAACTGAAGTTAAAGCCATTTAAAAAGTAAGAACGAAAGTGTGTGATTCCATTGGATAAAATATTGTATCACTTGGGGGGAGGAGGATTACATACATGTTGAGCAGAAGAGCACTTCCTCTTAAGAAAATAGAGTAACCTGGTATTCTACATAACATTCATCTTCATTCAACTGTACTGTTCACTTTTTAAAGGGGTATTAGTATTAACATGCCTATTCCAAAGCCAGGCAGAGTATACTGGTCTATGGGAGAAAAAAAAAACTGTATGAAATCTTTAGGAAATAAACAAAACCATCAGTTTTTAATGTGGATGAAGGTACTTTCCTAATGGTTCTCTAGAAATTTTAATCAGTCTTACGTTCAGACTCAAGGTCAGTTAATATACTTTAGTTATAATTTTATTAATATAATGGCTTCTCTATTAATAAGACCACTTACAAGTTACAGATGATTGATTTCCATGAAAGAATTGTGATCATTTAGATAATCTTTTCCCATTTAAGGATATTTCCATTTTCATATCTACTCCAGTTAGGAAAACCTTCACTAAAAGTATTATTTATAGCATGATTCTTAGTAGAAAGTCACAGTTCTTAGTGTGGCACCTGTTTCTTCATTCACTCACTCACACATTTGATGCTTGAGACTTAATGGGAAGTGGGATGTGTACTAAAATTAAGGCATACTGAAGGATAATAACAACAAAAGACAAAGTCTGTAGTATTCTTGCCAAAGCTAAGATGGGAAGATGAGATGACAGGGGTAGATTATGAAACATAGAATTAATATTCTGGCTTCCTTAACAATTCAGAAGTCTATAACTGGTCATCACTTTCCAATTATACTGTCTTCCAATTATACTGTCTTCCAATTATACTGTTACAATTAGAAAATGTGATATAAAACACGAAAAATGTATTTTGATATTTAAAAAATTTGTTAAAAAATTAAGGACTTTCTCTTTAAGAAAGCAGATCCAAAAGAACCTACCTATCGCTTATCACTAATCAACGTGCTGTTGGTGATATCTTACACTAGGAAGAAAGACTGTTGAGTAGGGTAGGGCTCAATCACTTGAACTGAAGGCCTGAGAGTAAAAAGATTACTTCATCTCCTGTTTTTTGCCTAGGTCTGTAATGTGACATGAAAACCCACAACCCTATTCTGACAGCATTTCCCCAACAATTATACTAACTGGTACTTTGTTAGCTGTAATGCAGTAAAAGGAGCTTGTTGAGAAGCTAGCAGGCTTGAATTCAAGCTCTGCCATTTACCACCATGTCCTTTACCACCACGTCCATTTACAAGTTTTTCGAGTCTCAGTTTTCTGACTTACATTGCCTTCTATGTCTCACCTACTTCACTGAGGCAATTTTATTATTTTGAGGCCATAATATCCATAGAAATGCTAAATAAAATGTTCTCCTTTGGAACAACCCACCTTCAGATTCCATTCAGATTTCATGAGAAAAAGAAAATGGTGCAATAATAGTAAACTTCCCTATACTGTCTAATTTGGGAGAAAGAAAAATAACCCATTTCTTTGGAATAGATTTAAACAGGACCATGGCCAAGTAATTTATCCTCTCTGAAATTCAGCCTCTATAATACCTGTTAGTTTTGTTGTGAGTGGAAGCAATAGTACAACATAAAAGTATTCTGAAAGACTGAAAAACATTAACCAGGGACAATAACAAAGTCAGTACAAAAAAAACTATTTGTTATCCAAGTCTTGCCTAAGTTTCTTTTAACTGCTGAAACACTCTGCAGAAAATACATATCATACTCTAAAAGTTATCCCACAAAAAAACCAATAGTATTCTGTAAGATTAGATATTATATGCCCCTGAAATCACACGGTTTATGTGTCTTACACTATTAGCTATGCATTTTTATAGAAAGAAAAACAATTTAAAACTGAGTATTGATCTAGTGAAAGTAATAGTACATACATAGAACTCTCCACTCCCAAAGGAATCGGATTTTCCCCCCAATTTCTAATTTTAAAAGGAAAAAATTAAAAATACAAACCAAGACTGACTGAGACTTGCAGCTCATTAAAGCTGAGGTGATTTCCCCTATATAGAATTCTATTGATCTCCATAGTCCACACTAGACAAAAAGTGTGGTCAGGGAGGGGGATGATGGATGCCTCTGCCAATAGCACTGAACAAACCTGTTAGCTAATTGCTACCAAAGACAATTATCCCCGCATTGTTTCATAATGGAAACACATTACAAAACTCTAATATACACACAGGGAAATTTGATGATTTGACTGCGGAGCCATGTGCACTGAATTTCATTGCCAAAGGCCAGCTAGGTCTCTGCTGTGAAGGGGAAGAAAGTGTCAGAATATAAGCCACAGTATCTTAAAGCTCCTTAAAGCTCTTTAAGGAAAAAAAAAGAGGAAGGAAGAAAGGGGGGAGGGATGAGAAAGACAAAGAAAGGAAAACAACACAGCATCATCCGTACATTGAATAAATTCTATAATCTGGCTATAATTTTAACATTTTCTGTTACTTTTTAAAAATGATAAACCTCTGAAATGATTTGTCATGTAAGCATAAAAAGATTTAAAATAATTTTCTGTCCAGAAGTACATTTCAATAGTTTTTCTGACTGGCCATGAGCCTACTGGCAAGTATGGAGTTAAAAAGGTGGCTTCACAATAGCCTAGTACGATGATTAAAAATATCATCAAATATCTGTCATGATTTTACTTAAATAAAAAAAACATCTGACTGTATAACAACTCACAGTAAAACAGCCATGAAACCAACCAATTACAAAGGAAAAAGCCTCACAATACAGTTATTTGATTATACATAATCATAGTGTAATTCAAGCATACAATATTTACATTTGCCTCCTTTCCAAGAAGCCACATTCTTGAAATACCCGTTCCTTGATATGTTTCTAAATATGCTCATGTCCTTCTCCAGTGTATTCATGCAAGACATTTAATCCTAGCATTGGAATTACAGGAATGCTGATATACAGTACACATCAAAATTATATTCAGTACTATTTAACTCTACTGTATAAAATGGTACAAAATAAAAAGAAAAATGTGCCGAAGATGTGCAGTGTTATAAAGATAAATTAATGGCTACAAAATTTATGAGCAACCTATTAACTTCATAATTCACAAGTCAATGAATTCTGCTTTACTGTGTTTGATACTGCTTTATATAGGCTGGTCTACCTGCTTCAGACTGTGCTGACTACTATTTTGACAAGACCTGGATAGCAGTAGGTCCAAAGCAATCAGAAGGTTGACTTTGACAAATGGTGGTGCTGCGGTGAAGTTGAAAATAACACACATCCACTTTAATCTCTTTCTTGATTAAATCGAAACCATACCATTCTGACATCATGTGATTTGCTCATGAAGCATCACTGCAGGTTACTTTAGAGGCTACATCTATTGAAATGATATTGAATTTTTAGGGGAAGTACTTAATTCATTCAAATGAAACCTTCGCAAGGTAACTGGGCCACCAGTCACTGATAACTGCAGATTCAAAGAAAATCAAAGGAGAAATCCCTGACAAAAAATAAAAAAATAAAAATCCAACATGTACTACTGAATGATATTTTAGTAGGTATTATCTTCTACTTTCATAGAGGGAAGATTATATGCATAAAGCATATTCCAAAGCTTTTTACCTATTCTACCACTGCTAAGCTCCAAAGGTAAACATTATACTAGGTAATAAAAATGCAGAAGATGAAACTGTCTTTTTTACATGAGACTAGGCAAATATTTATGGGGCAGTTGACAAACTCCTGCCTAGTAAAAGAGCCAGCACTGAGAGCAATTATCCTGATATTCATGACTCACTTTGAATATCACATTGAATATTACTCATAAATCTTTTACGAGCACATCCCCAGAGCTCACTTAACAGCCGGTTTTAATCATGCAGTTGACACAGAGAAAATAACAAAATGTATTTTTTCAGTGGCAAATTAATTTAGGCTTGAACCTCCTCCTGTAGCTCTATTCTTTCCCTTTTTTTTTATTTTTTATTTTCTGGTACAAAGACCAGTGAAATTCATTTTTGCATCTGGAAATAGTATTTCTCCAGTCTTGCTGAATTAGAATAAAAAAGAATGAATGTTTCCTTTAGAGTCACTTCCTGACAGTAGTTTTTTAAATGATGTATCTTGTTCTATATATGAAAAATGAATCAGTTTTTGAGTTTGATACACATTGTCTATTTTGCTGAATGGCGAGGTGAATGTAGAATTTAGACAAAGAATAAAGCATGATTTTGAAGAGTATTTAAGTTGTGGGTGGTCCTTTATATTGCATTCAATTGTCATTAACTGTTCATGATAGCTATTTTGGAATCTGGCTCTCATTAAGTGACTTGAAATGCCGTGTAAATTATTTTTAAATTGAGGGAAGGGAGTAAAAGAGTAGCATTAAGAAAAAAGGAAAAAAGGTAACTCACGTGGAGTTTCCTCATGTTCCTGTAGAAACCTCTCCAATATAATCCGAGCCATTAATGAGGGTGCGTAGTCCACCTTTACAAAATAGAAATAGAAAATTAAAACTGTCAAGTTCTGCAAGCAGTTGATATTCCAATATTTTGTCAACACTGAAGATTAAGTCAATTTTAATCAACCACAGCAAGCATCATTCATTAAAATCTTTCCCACTCCTGGTGGTTTCCATCATAATAAAATTATAACAAGTCTGATCTGTGCCGTTGAAAAGAAAAAATGGGTCAAATTTATTAAATATAATATTGAAACAAAAAGGATGGAACAACCTGGAAACAGTATTTACCTAAAACAGTGAAGTAGGCTTTTCTGACCTCTCCTCAATTTCTTCCATTGGTAGGCCAGTATCACTTTTATTCCAGCCATTCTTCTTCCTTTCCAACTATCTATATTTGTATTATTTTGAACACAATTTCAAATAAAACCCCTTTTGTTAGCAACTGTTTTCAGAAACTGAATTATGTCCTTAGGCATTAAAAATACAAATTTATTGATTTGAATTTATTTTATCTTTAAAGACTTCACTGAAATTTTGGTATAAGTTCTCTGTGTATAAAATCTTGTTTGATGGAAGAGAAATAGTTGTACTACATAAATGCTAATGATCAAATCAATAATAATAGTATCTGTACTATAAGATCATTGTCCTTAGGCTTATCAAAAATGTTATTTAATCAATTTAGTTAATACAGAACCCAGGGCGGTAACTTTTCTATATATATGTAAAAGACCAAACAGAAAACAGGGAACACACAGTCCAAAAGTCATTTGAATTAACTAAAAATGCATCTACTCTTTTGGAAATGTATTTACTTCTTTTTGATTTGCAGATCTTTTATTAACCACTGATTTAATTTCACAGAAACTCTGGTGTGTATTTTTCAAGAACAATGGTGCTCCCCTAAAACAAGTCTTTTTATCTTAGTTATAAGATAGCAAATGCTCCTCATACATTATCACCATGAATTTTTCTTGACAGGTTTTCAAGTCCTGCATTCATACCAAAATTTTTTCTTGATTTAGTAACTAGACAAAAAGGCTGGCTTCATTTGTATGAACAGTTTTTTTCAAATATGTATGTACTTGGATGCCCTTAAATTCCCCAAGTAGAAAGAAATGCTTTCCACGAAGCTGCTTATTCCTAGTAACCCACATCAGAGCTGACACATGAAAAATGGTGAAATTACTGAAGGTAGTCCAGCCTGAATAAGGACTACCTTATTAGTTCAGGTACTTGCATCTCCCTAATTTTCATATTAATCATGTGTCCATCTTTCTCTGAAATAGGGCCATCATGCTTCATGTCAGAATTTAGCATGTAAGTAAAATTCATAGTGCTTCAAATCTCACTTGAAAATATTTGCGTGGAGAGAACAGAATGACTGATCTTATTATTACTAACAAAGTGAAATCTCCTAAAATGTTCATTTTAGCCTTGAAATAGAAAAATTGGCATCAAGACATTTATAAAATCAATGATGACCACAGACTCCCCTACTCCCAAATCCACAATAGCATAGTGTTGCTGTGCGAGAGAGCTGCCGCACACTGATGTGCCAATGTTACACATTTCTCCTCAATTTTTACAGTTCCCACTGATTACATGCATACTGACTCATAAAGCATTACCATCACATCAGTTGTCACCAGATGCAAGCATATGTCATTTAAGTATTAACTATCATATAAAAATGGCAGCTTGGTTGTTTAGAAGCCATAATCTGATACCAGTCATTCCCCAATTTCCCTAATAGGTTAGCAATCTCTCAGAGTACAATTATCCCTTTACTAATCTGCAGCCAAAAAAGAGGGAAAATCTTTAAATAAGTACTTATTTGGTTAAATATTGCTATATATTCACAGTAAATAACAGGTTTATTGACATAGAAAAATGTGTTAGTAGATTAAAATTTTCCATATTACTAGAAGATGGAAGTTGAGGTCAGCTAAATAAGCTTAGCTCATCAGAAATACCCATTAACAATTCAAATGAATATAAACTGCTACTATATAAAACTTGTTCCACCAATATCATCTATAAAAATGAGCACCACGTTTGCATCACATTCTTCCTAGATGCTGCACCTAGAAGCTGCTAGCTCACTCTTCCTTTTCATAAAGACAGTCTCTGAATCCTACTTGTGAAATACCTTCCATTGCTAACAGAACTGACTCGCAACAAACAACTCTGAAGACACTTAAAAGCCACCTTGCTCTAGAAATAGAAAAAAAAATGAATAAAATACATGTTTTGCTAGGAGAAGAGAAATGCATCCTATGTGTTAACTATCCTATCAGATGGTATAGACATTGCCTGGACTATTAAAGCCTTCCAGTAACTGATAGGTAATTGCTCACTTGCTGACTGCAGTGGTGTACAGCAGACAGAAGCTGTGAGAGAAGCCATCCTTCCTTGCTAATGTAACATGTAGAACTTGCTGCTACTGCAACACTTAATGCTCAGAGTACCGAGTCATCTTTAATGCAAACACACATTTTCTGCCTTGCTTCTATGTTTTCCATTATAATGCAACATGAAAACAGTGTACATTTCATTCTATCCCTATGAGGTTTGCATAAGCAGTTCCAAGTCAGACTAAATATTGTATTGCTCTTATTACAGTGGATAAATATTTTAAAGTTTACGAATTAAATATTTTATTTTTTCAGTATGCTCTCTGCAACTATTATGAACTTTTTACAGCTTCTTCATTCATGGGAAATCTTTAGGGCTTCCTTTTTCAACTGTAAGACTATTATTTGTTTCCCTAAACAGAAGCAGATCAGAGTTAACAAATAAGTTCAATAAATCACTTTGTACTTGCTGTTAATAGGAACAGTATGCTTCTTCATATAAAGAGACTTTTCTACAAGGCACATATCTTTTATTATAATGAATGTTTGCTAGCAAAAAATGAATCAAGTAAATGTTACATCTTTAAGTATACAATTTCTCTCTTCATTGTTATAATAGTTAGCAAAGATTTTCTTGGCACATAGCTCTTTACTTGACACAGGTGTTTCTCACAGTAAATTAAGACAACACCTCCAAAGAAGAGCATGTCCTGAGCTGTGTGGTTAAAATTCCCCACAAAATAAGAAATCAAGAAGTTGTTTATACATTTGCCTCAAAAGAAGCAGACTAATTATATTAACTGATTTATTAACATAGGAAAGTCTTTGTCCAATTATTAAAAGTACAAACAGACTAGGGAGCAATTTAAATGTCTAGTGTACCTCCAAATCTTTTTTTTTACAAAGGTTAATTATAATTCTGAGCAAAGCTACTCTAGATAGGACCCTTAGGTTTTAGGCAGGTGTAAATATAATAATAACAATAACATTACCTCATTGGCCAGCTCCAGGAGCACCGGGGCAGCTCCGTTTTTCCCCACTCCATTCAGGTACCTAGATTAAAGACAAAGCCAGATGGTAATGCAGTGGCAAGAAAAGGCCAGCACAGACTTGTCAGCATCCCCTGTGTGGACACGTTTCTCCTGGGCAAATGCCACGCTCAACTCTACAGTATGCTACTGTCACAGGAAGGCTTCCATGGGGAAGGGATAACAAAACAACTTACCTCCAAACCACTGGAAACTCACAGAAGTTGGGGGCAGGAGGTATGAACACATTGGTCTCCCCTGCTTTCACTACCCAACATGCAAAAAGGGGACACAGGTGATTTCAAAAAGAACTATCCCTAACACCCTGACTTCGTCCATGCAACAGCCATCTCATGGAAAGGAAATAAGTTCCCTTGAAAAAAGCATCCATGAACCCCTATTGCCTTTTTGTTTAATTTTGTTTCACAGGACTGGCTGACACCTTATTAAGAAAAAAATGGAACAGACTTGTCATCAGTGGGTCAGTACACCTTTAATAGGCAACAGAAGACATCACTTTATCTGCTCGGCATTTCTGTCATAACTTCCAGCCCTCCTCATCCTCTAATTCCACTAGAAAGAAAAAAAAAGGGAAAAAATTCCCCAAATCCATCCCACACACAAAAAACAAAGTGTTTTTTTAAAAAAAAAAAAACCCAAAAATTTGAATGCATCCTCCTCTTTAAAACACTTCACAGGCCCCACATTTAATCTCTAAATTATAACCACTTAGCAGGCACTTGCGCAGTTCTTCAAAAACTCGCTGCTACCTACTCTATTAGGCCAGCTGCATTTCCAGTGATAGCCCCTTCCTAGCCTTCACCTGTGGAACTCATGGTTCTGCTTACATGTTCCCCACTTCAATCCACCACCAGCCAGAAGTAAGTTAGTTAAGTGTCCCTCATGTACATCCAAGGAGCACCCTGTACAGCTCTCTATCATTTAACACAGCACATTGTATCTGCCTGGTTACCTGTCTCCTTCAACCCATCCCTCACTATAAGGCTGAAAGAAAGCCCCATGAAAGTAGAGGTTTTGTATTTTATTCAATTTATCAGGCCTAGCACAGTTCTTGGCTTATAATAGGTGATTATATTACACACATAAAGTTTTTCTTTAATAAATGATATTATTCACATACTTTTTTTCATAAATTGAATAATATTTCAAGCCATAGTGGGCAAGAAAATACAATTAAATATGGACACTGTCCCTATAGTATACTGTCTGAGTGAATAAATTAACTATTTGTTTGATAGTAAAAATCAAAGTCACATCAGGTCTAACATAAAAAATGTCAGAAGCAGATATTAAATTATATTATTTCACAAATATGCTTGTAAAGATGTATAATTTTCCTATAAACTAAGTGGAATAAAAGCATATTATTCAAGGCAGAGAGAGTCTCAGGATCATCGCAACTTCAAAGTAATTCTAACAAGTCCATGTTCCATATATTGGAGCCTTTCTTTAATAAATTGTTTAGGCATCTAACTGGGAAATAAGTACTTTCAGAAGCAAGGAGGAGAAAAAATGGCAAGTGTGATTTAGAGAAAGGTCCCCTGGGAAGTAAGTCAGGTAGGAACCACCCATCAACTTACAACATTCCCATTGCACCTATAGGCTGGCTGAAGGAATGACCAATCAGCTCAGTCAAGTCAGGCCAGCTCCTCGAGTGTCTGTAACCACCCAGAGTATACATTCGTTAAGGGTTCAGATTCTGGGTCAGAGTTGCTAGGCCTACACTGACATTAAAGTGACTTTGCAACTTTCTACTCAACATTCATTTATTCCACAAATACTTCTGAGTGCTATGTGCTGGGCCTTATTCCAGGTTCTGCAGCAATAGCTCCACAAACTTCCATGGCTCCTGCTGTCACAGAGGTTGTATTACAGTGGAGAAACAGACAATGAAATGACAGAGAAATAAATACATAATACAATGATAAACGCTACAATAAAATGCAAACTTGTATGGGTTGGTCAGTAAGCCCATCTCTAAGGAAGTGACACTGAGTAGGGCCCTGCAAGAGGACAGTGGCAAGCCATGCGGGAAGGGCAAGCCAAGTGGGATAACAGTATGTGCAGATGTCGGGAATATGCTTGAGTGTCCGAGGACCAGCAAAGGCGCTACTGTGACCGGAGCCAAGCTTGTGACAGCTGATTGGAAATAACAAGAGAGTAGCTGGACCCCAGACCACTGCCTCTAACTAGAGCACTGTTGTTGGGTCCAAATTACATGGTTTCATGTAAACCCCACATCAATCATTATCCTGGAAATGATCAATGGAACCTTTCTATTAAGTTTAAGTAACAGGAGATGGTCAAACAACAATAATAACTCACTCTGTCTGTATAGTCTCTATAATATCAAAGCATGTTCAAAAGTAGAAATTCCTAACTGAGAGCTTGATAAAGCTTCCCAGTTGGTCACATACAAAAACCAAACCCCAGGGTACCGATGAAACCCATCTGCGTTCTCTTAGCTGGCAAGCAGAGAAGTTCTGAAATGGAATCCTCATCAACCAAAATCAACCGAAGTGCTTTCATATGTTGACAAGGTAGACCTGCTTCTGAATGTACTTGTTCCCCAGCATGCTTCCCAACTATATCCTATAACACTTCAGAAGTGCAAGGGAAAAGAAGTTAAAATTAATCTGAAGTTGTGTTTGTCCTTCCAGAGAACTTTAATTGTCCCCCACATAAAGTGACAGTTCTTTCATATTTTTAGATATACAATCAGAGAGGAATGCTAATTACAGAAAATATTCAGAAGGACACAATCAGATGTTCCCAATCTTACCCTTCTCTGCATCCTCAAAGCATCTATGTAAACTTACAGCAGAGACTTTTCACATGGTTTCTTTCTTTCTCCAACTAAACTTGGAGCTGCTTGTGGTAGGGCATCCTCATCTGTTAGGTGAGGATGCTGAACCTCACCTAACAGATCCTTAGCAAAGGTCTAAATTACAACTGGGACATAGGGATGTGATCCTGAACACTACATTCAGGTGACCTGGGCTGTCTTCCTAATGCCTGTTTGCAAATAAAAACTACTTTGCAGAGGAGATATATGTCACAGGAGGACGCTAGCTTTGCCACAGGAGGACTCTAAAATGTATGTCTTGTGGGTGAAACCATCCATTTTTCAGAGAAGGTCCATTTTATGGCTTTTTTGAGTATATAAGATATATTAGCGTCTAAGATTAAAATACTATGCACTGATTTTAAATATAAGGCAAAGTTATTTGGTCTTTAACATTTTCATGATAACTATAAAGGAGAAACTTAGAAAACCAACCAATTGAATGAAATTCAATTGGTTTGATTCTCTAAAGCTGACAAAGTTGGCCCGCAGACAATGTGTATTGGGAGAGGAGAGAAACATGAGACAATACTTTCAAACTTCACTATTGATGGGGATGTGCAAATCTGACCGATTTGTGAGTGTGTCTGTGTGTGTGCCCACATTCTATCAAGTATGTTTCACATTTGGAAATAAAATGCCATCAGTACAGGGGCATTATTTTCAAAATAAACATTCAAGCTGCAACTGTACACACACAACATGAAGAACTGGAGGAATTTCCTCAATAATTCAAGAGCTTGAGAAAACACTTGCTATGATATTTTGATACTGTGAAGTTTCAGATACCCATGATGGAATCACACTGTGGATTATATGGTTTTAAATACAGACTTCAAATTCTGAATAGAAATCATCTCAATGCTATCAAGAATGTAGAGAGACTTAGGAATTCTCTAAAATTGCTACTAGGGAACCATCACAAGCTTTCTAGATAGTCATTTGGCAATATATAATAAAATATTTAAATGCTCATTGTTTGTACCAATAACTATAGATATAGAAATATTAAGAAACCAATCCAAAATGTAAAGACTTATAAATCAAAATATTTATTATAGTTTTTAAAATATCAGAGCATTGAAAACATGTATGTTCCACAGAGGAATAATTCAGTAAATTATACTTTCATATGATGAAGTAATGCAATCAATAAATGCTTACAAAAGCTTTCTACAAAATGGCAGTATGTCATATACATTTTTCCAAGTATAAAATTCAGGATTCACGGTTGGGTATATAGTATGACCTCATCAGTACAAAAATGGATTGAGGAAAGTGTAGAATGAAAAACACTGCAGTGCTTGTCTCTAGGCACCACAGTTATGAGCTATCATTCAGTCCTTTTTTAATCATCACAAATGTGCTTCATTTTCACAATAGGTGAGTATTGCTTTTATAAAAGCAAAAAAATTAAATAAATTATTAACATTGTCAAGTTGCTAAACTATGTTTTGAGATAATGCAATTTTCCTTAATTCTAATGAGCTGGAAAACAGAAAAATCTGTTTCAAGGCCAATTTACCTTAGAGAATACGAGGACATAGAATCTGCACATTTGGACCAAGAGGCCTGTAAAGTCCATCCATCTGAAAGGTAACAACACAGCCTGTCTTCGAGCACAAAGTGCAGGGCAGAAAGTCAGGGAGCAGCACGGTAAAGCAGGAAGCTAGTCAGACTGCTTTCCCATTAGTTTGTCCATTACAGCCGAACTTTACGTTGTTGTTTCAGGGTTCAAGTCTCCTTGAAACAACCGAGACTCTCACATTTAAATAAATGTAAAGAAATACAAATATATTTCTGTATTCTCATTATTACCCACTCAACTGTTCATTATTTTAGTAACCATACAAAAAGGAAAGATTTTTATTTCTGGCCTAAACTACAAAGATAATCCAATAAAGTATGTTCATACTTTAATAATTAAATGTGCTTCTTCATGAAACTAAGATTTTAAGAAGAAGCTCTTAGAGATCTTGGAAATCATCTACTGAAACAGCCTACACGCAAGGAGAAGAATGGTTGTCAGAGCAGACCCTTGGCCTCACAGTGGGTCTCCAAAGTCCTAGTGACTGCCCTATTTCCCTTCGCTTAGGTTGACAAGGTTTTCAAATCTGGACATAGAATCATACTTTTCAATGACAGTTTACAACTATAACTTTACAAGCAAAAATATATTTCTGACATGTAAATAACTTTTCAGTTTTTCTTTGGTGGGCCTGAATGCCAAAGCAGTTGTTGGCTAAGTTCATGAGCCATTCTTAATCTTACGTGTACGATTTGGGTTATGACTTTCATTTACATGTTAATTTCATTAAGGAGATTATGTCTTTTGAGTAAATCATCTCAAACTTTAAAAAGACTTGTTTAGAGAGAAATTCTACACACAAAAGTTGTGTGTGCTCACCTTTCTTTCTTTAACAGATACTGCTAGTGAAAACTGAATATATCTTTTATCATATACAGAATAATGTATAATTCTAAAAAAATAGAACTTCAATAACTTCTCAATTCTTAAAAAGTGACCTTACAAAAGCATGACACCAGTATTTTATTTGTACAGTAATTTCATTCATAAAATTTTTGTGCATAAAAATTCATCTAAAATTAGTAGTGTCACTCTCACCACAGAAAGGTTGATCTGTCAGTCTTATGTGTAATAATTTAGGAGAATATATTCAAAGAATCTTCTTTCCCAATATGCCCTTGAAATATTTAAGAAGCCCACAATTTCTCATGGAAATCATTACTACTTACCATTATAAATTAGTCATATTGCAAAGAGAATAAAACATTTTAAAAATAGTTTTTAAAATATTGTTTGTTTTAGAACTGAGTTTGAGAACTATTTATAATAAATCAGGATGGAATTAAATATCCTATGTACACTATGGTATTGATTTAATGCCCAAGATTTCCTTTTTAAAATAAAAATTTCTATTTTGTGACAGTTGTACATTATTATATATCTCCATGTCCTTACTTGGCATATGTCTTTTTTTCCCCCGAAATGGCTAACCCAATACCTATGATGAAAAATACAACTGCACCAAAATGTAGTTTTATTTTCTAATATATTTTTCAACTTGCTGATCTAAAGAAACAAATGAAAATTGGTTTGAGAACTTATACACATAGGTGTATGTACACATGAACATATGGATCTACACAAGACATGCACTTATGAAAGTTTCCAGCAGTGGATGGAGATTTCATAATATTGCACTGACTGCCCACAGGGTCTGTACACACACACTTAATCAAGGCAGTCTCACTATATTCTTTAAATCTGCAAAGCACAGCATTGAAGAAATCACTCAAACATATATGCAGAGTCTTAAATAACAGACTTAAAATAAAATGCTTTTGAATGTTATATAGGAAATTCATTTAGTAACCTAATTTATTCATAATTATTATTACAATTGGTAGGTACTATGATACCCTCTAGTGGGGCAGGCAGGTCATACCTCTGGTAATAACTTTCAATCGCTTCTGAAGTATGATGTTTGGCATGTGTTCTTTTAATATGTTTCTGAAACAAAACAGAAAAGATCTTTATGTTGTGTCACAGATGAGGTTCAAGAACAAAAACGACATATTTCTTCATCCCCACGTCTCACACTCAGGGCAAACTGAACAACAGCTGAGGGATTTGGGTGGTGGTGGATCTTTTCCCTTCTACTCCATGAACCTACGCATTTTAATCTCCGCTGCTTGGCTGGGATGTTTTCAGACTGCACCACAAGGTACAGTATGTATGTAAAAGCCAACAGGGTCAGAGCAATTGAATCTAAATAAGTTTGCTTAGGGTTGCAGAGGGCAAAGAAAAACTTGTTCCCTTGAAAACCTTTGTATTAATTTCCCCTCAATTCAATTCTATCTGAGTCCTCCGCACTCTAGTTTTACAATCCAATTGCCATTTTTAACCAGGACGAACATTGCTTAAAAACAACTTATTTGAAAACTACAAAAAGTAATTCCATCGAGACTTGCCACTTGACTGACATCTGTCATCTCATGATAAATGACTCCATTTTCTGCCTCTCTTGCCTTCTGCCACTCCAGCAATGGTCATTTATCATCATCTCTGTCAGCAATGGAAAGCGGCACTGACAGTGCAAGTCAGCAAACATTTAGCACATGGAACCACGCAACACAGGGAAATTATTATTGTCAGAATAATAATGGTTTAGCATAATTTATTACAGGTCCACCAAATAAGCAAAGGCTAGATGTTATTAGACAGATGGATGGGTAGGCTTGGCAGGCCTCCACTGAGACGCAGGCGGTGCTTGATGTGGAAAGGAGAACATCCTCCAACCCAATCAGAGAGCTGGCAGTTCAATTACAAAGAAATAAAGGGACATTCATCATTCAATTAGGCACCTGTCAACCCTCACAAAGGAGAAAACTTCTAACCTGGTACTCCTGGGAGAAGATGCTCAGCAGAGTGGCCTGCGATTGACTGGAACAAATAAAAGAAGGACAAAGTTAATTACTGGAGTGCACGGCAAAGAAACAAAAGAGAAAGGAGCTTCAAAGGTAGGCCTGCTGCCCTGTAATCTAACAGAACATGAAAACAAGTGTGGAAAAGTTGTTCCAGATGAACACCTCAGACAAAGGCTTCCTGCTGCTAGGTCAAGGAGAGAGAAAAAGGGAAAGGGGAAAATGTGGATGGTCTCAGAGCCAAGTGTCATGTGATTTGGATGTTTTAAAAAAACTTTACAATGATTGTAAATCATGTCTGTAGCATGCAGTGATGTTAAAAAGGGACCAAAACCAGGTAAGGTTTATTCCATTAATAAATGAGAGTCAAGTCCCACAAACAACAGGAAACGTGCAGTGTGTTTGTGGGAAACATTCCGAAACTTGTTTTGTTAGCAGACAGGTATCCTCTTCTGAGACTGTCTCAGATTCAGGGGGAAACTTTGGTCTTCACTAGAAGCAGCACAGAGGCCACTGGAACATTCCCACTGACACTGCTGTGCTTTGAAAATAGCAGCTTTCACCGCAGGAAGCTGAGGTCCTTGAAGTGAGTCATTCCTGAAGACCATCTTCTTCAGTGAAGATGCCGCGCAGTGTCCAACACCTGCCAGCAAAGCCCCTGGAAAACCTTCCCAAGTGGGACTTTTTCTCTCACAGTTGTTAACATATAAAAATGGAACAATATTTTTATCTCTAAAAAACAATCAATGCCCTATTGCTACTCTCTTTGATTGCCTTTTGTACATATATCTACCTGATTGTATCTTGAAAACAATTATCTCTGATATATTTTCCTACAAAATGCTATCTGAACAAATTAACAATATCAACAATTTGACTTTTAAAGTACACCAAAGCACTGTGAATAATTATTTTTTTTCTATTCAAGAATGAAACCTCTCAAGCTCTTCACAGTAATTCGGGGAGTGTAAAATAAAAACAATGACAGTATATTTCTTTATTCACTGTTTCAATTTTGTCATTTTCTTCATTCCACCATAGATTTGGCTTCTAACCCCTTTCTACATAAATGTTTACTAAGGAAAAATGGTAATTACTCAAGGATGGTTTCAATAACCCAAAAGTACTGAGAAATTAGTGAATACAATTACAAATTCACTACAGTCCATTTTTTTCAATTTCCCTTTAAAAATGAAAACCACCCTTGAAAGAGCCAATATGTATATAAAATCTTACTATGCCTGGCTTGCCTGAGTTTCACATGCGAATCATATAGCCTCTTGGGGTTGCTGAGAACCATCTTCTAAAAAAATGACAAAATTAGACCCAAATATTTGTAAAACATTGAATAAGCCAACACAGTAGATATTTTATGCAATAAATGGACCCCTCCTCATTCTAAAGCAAAATACATTTATGTTAACCTTTAATGATAGACAAAATGTTAGTCTCATTGTGTTAAAAATATGGTGGAAAGAAATGAGCTTGTGATGCTCAAATCAGGGAATAAAGGGGAGGAAACTTCATTGAGAACAAAAAAGAAATGTAATTGTAGATGCCCAGATGAGATAATGTCTTTAAACTGCTTAGAATTCAACTAAAACCATAGACAGACCCTAGGGAGCAACCAAGTGTCTCGGTGGCCAAGAGGACTGGAGAGGAGGTTCCAGCTTACACTGGCGGTAAAACCTGGCTAGACCTGAAGTGGAAAAATGAGCTATTTAACATGATGACAACAGAAAGACAGACCTCGGACAAAATGCTTTGGATTTGGCTGACGAGATAAAGATGCAGAGAACTAAATGACCTCTGTGAGGTAGTTTGCCAGCCTGTTCCCTGTTCCTGCATGCACTAAGCTTATTGACGAGGGTTCTGAGCAAGTCTCACACGTAAAGAATGAAAGTAGTTTTAGTGCAACTAAGACACTGACTCCAGTTTGTACTGTTTATTTCTTTCTTCCAATGTGTTCATCCTGAAAAGGTCAACCTTGAATACCAGTGTCAATCAATCAGCAGTATTCACTAAGTATTTACAGTGTCCTAAGGTCATGGGTATGGGGAACTATGACATTAAAATAAAAAGTTAAATGTGGCGGACAGGACTTGACTTAGAAGAAACTTTCAACATATACACACAACTCTCCCTCAAATTAGAACACTGTCAAGTACTCATATGTTTTGGGGGGATCTGGTGAAGTAAATCATACCCTGAAATCTCACATATTTCAAGACCGCACTGGCATTGGAACATATGAGGTCTGTCTGGAAAAAGTCCAACTATTGTTAGTATAACAAGAATGGTTAGCACAACATCATTGTAACCTGGCAGCCAAGAAGAGTGGACTGGAATATGTATGCGTGAACAATGACAACTTCACTGTACTAGTCAGTGGTGGTGGTAGATGCTGTTGAGCAAGCATGCGTACTGTGTGGCCGTTCCAGATGACTGAGCAGGGAGAGTAATGAATCTCCATCCAATTTTGCATTAAGCTTGAACTGTGTAAACTATTTGGATGATTCAGAAGGCCATAGCTATGGGCAACGGGTAACTGGCAGCTTAATCATGACAACATGCCCAACTCATGCATCATGTTTCATGTAGAGTTTTTTGGAGAAACATCAAATCACCCAGGTGACTCAGCCCTGCTTTAGCCTAGATTTGGTGCCCTGCAACTTCTGGCTTTTCCCAAAACCAAAATCACCTTTGAAAGGAAAGAGATTTCAGACCTTTTATGAGATTCAGGAAAATACAACAGGGCAGCTGATGGTGACTAGGAGAACTGTGTGAGGTCCCAAGGTGCCTACTTTGAAGGGGACTGAGGCATCATCATCCTATGTACAATGTTTCTTGTACTTCATCAGTAAATGTCTCTAATTTTCATATTACATGGTTGGATGCCTTCTGGACAGACTTCATATATCCATTACTTGGCATATAAACTTTAATATTCAAAAATAGTCACTTAACTTGCACAAATGCCCAATACATTATTCAAACCTCTTCAAAAATCAGCCCTGTGTTTTTTCCCATGCTACCCTCCCAGATTAAGTTCCTCCCCACGTCTGAAAAAGGAGAAGTTGGGGGGACCCCTAGAATGGCTGTGGAACCTTGCCTGGGTGTGCGACAGATGGCTGTATGGGGCAGCAGCCGTCCTAGAAACAAGCATGAGGACAAAGCCTACATACTGAGGACAGCAGGACAGAAAGTGGAAAGAGCCCAGGTCCTTGAGGAAGGACACTGTTGAACTGCTCAAGGGACCACAGATTGAAGTGACCACCCTCCTACTTCTTTTGAGTGATAATACATGCTTTAAAAAAATAAATGAACAACAAAAAAAACCAGGTTCCTATGTGCCTTGTAAGGAGAAGACCTGATGGAGGGAGGTCTCTGAGACAGGGTGCTCCATTATGATGGCATGTGTAAGGGATGTAATGTTGTACATGAAAAGGGTTGTCCATTTCACACTTTCTAAATCTCTTCTTAGCTGGCAGCTACTATATTTGACTTCCTTAAAATTGTTCCTTTATCACTGTGTCAGTAAATTGATGTGCCTAGAGATCATAAATTGGTGTGTGTATAATTTTTCCATACAAATTTTAAACACTAATAGGGTACTATTAACCCTTATTTCATATAGCATTCAAGACACTTCAGATGCCACGTAAGTATAAACAGGCCAAAAAAAAAAACAAAAAAAAACAGTTCCCCATAAAGCACAGGTGGCAAACAAGGCCCGTGGGCCAAAACCAGCCCTCCACCTTGTTTTATCCGGCCCAGCACCTTGTTTCTACCCAGCAGCAACACCAAGCTCTCGCTTAACTGTTAAGGAATAGTTACATTTATATAGTCCTAAAATTACATTCGGCCCTTGAAAGGCAACCACGAAGCTGACGTGGCCCCTGGTGAAAATGAGTTTGACACCCCTGCCATATAGCATTTAACATGTCCCCAAACCCATCCAGCTAAGACACCCATTAACCTGAAGGATCTCAGAGAAAATGAGGGTAGGGTGAGGGTAGTCTACAGCATAGACTAAGCGCAGAGCTCAGCACACACCTAGTTGCAACATTCATATGAGGGGCAAGTCCTCATGCTCCCAGGTGGAGACTTAAAAAAGGTAGGATCTTAAGGAAAGAAGATACTGCACATCTCATGTCCTTCCTCTTCTCAGGTACCCAACCTCTGGAAATGACCATAAAGAAATAAATGCCATTACTTAATTTTCAAGCTCCTTTTGCTACAGAATCTGGAAGTATAAAGATCTAAACTCTACTGTGCTCAAAATTATCTAAGCAAAATGAGTGTTATCTCTGGGACTCTGGGAGCAGTAAACCAATTAAAGGAGATAAGGCAGGATAAAGCATTAGGCTTGGAAACCTCACAGGTACAAGGCACAAACACCCTCTCTAAATCACTGGGTTTTATGTGGTTACTGACTCAGAGTACTAATCAAGGAAGGTTTTCTCTGAAAGAAATACATTCACCCTCCCTCATACACCCCCATGCCCTTCATACACGCACCTACGTGCAGATTTGAAACACAGAGCCCCCCTGCCCACTCAAAATCAAAATGGAATTCAATAAAAGAGCAAGACTTGACAAATACCACTAATTTTACTATGTTTTTCAACAACTACAATGTGCAACAGAAAGAACCTGGGAAATTCCTGTGGAGGACAAAGGAAAAATACTTAAATTCAGGAAATTAAAAAAAAATCCATCATACACCCTCCTCCATTTCTACTTTCTAATTTCCAACTTCGTATCAAGGATGCCAACTACAGTTTATGCCTAACCATAGCAGGTACACCTGTAAATGACTACACAGATGACAGCATTAAGCGTAGTAGTAATGGATGATTAAAAAATGTTAAAAGCGCTGGAATGAGAGTAAAAGGGAGAAAACTGTACTTGAACAATGATTAAAATAAAATTTTTAAAAAATGTTAAAAGCTATACTTGTGTTATATATAGGAAAAAAATGGCTACTATCCCAGGCACTTAATTAATTTTGCTGAT